AAGAGGATATTTTCCAACCCAACCCGGGCTGTAGCACTAAAAGAAGAAGAACGAGGTATAATCCAATTATCTGATCTTCTAGATCTCGTTGTGTTTTAGTGCTGTTTTGATTTATTCTGTTGTATGAAGTGTTTTATATCCCACTTCTAGTAGGCTTCCCAGATCTTCAGCTTTTGTTGTTAAAATGTTATTACAACACTTCTTGGTTATTTACATTAATCTCCTTTAGTCTGATACCTCAAAAGTTCGAGTTGATCTGGAATTAAGCTTAAGGTTATCAATCCTGGGAGTAACCTGTTGAGCATATTCGAGGGAATCATATGAGCGAAGAAAATAATAACTCAACATTTTCTTTTCATAATCTGATTTTAATCGTTACATCAAACCTCTATTTGGCAAAAAACACTGAAATGACCAGAAAACAGTAAAACTAAGTGGCCCAAAGAATACAAAAAAAAACGAGAACTTAGAAACATGACAAAATAAAATCCAAAATAAAGAAAGGGCCAGAAAAATTGAACTCAAAACCAAAGCAGAATGTAGAAAGTTACCAGATAAAGAGCAAGAATGAAGCCAAAGAAAAAAACTTTGCGTTGTCTAATGTTAGTACTTCAATTTAAAATGAGAATTTTAATTTATTTTTACGTTTCTTTAGCTGATGTTTCTTAGATTGTATACATATTGTATCTTATTGTATCATGAGATATCTTTTTTAGTTTTAAATAAAAAATGTCTAAAAATCTAAGCAATATTATGTAATTAACATTAAAATCTCATTACTTTGTCATTTTAAAATTAATCCATACCATTATATTTAAATTACGTAGCTTCATATGGTATTTGCAATGAATTATTTTCCTGTGCGCATTCGTTGAAGCGATCGACGAATAACAGAGCTGTTTGTTGAAACCTACAAACGGGGCACGTTCCAATGAAAATATTTTCATTATATTCACGATGTTCGCGTGTGTACACGTGAACACCAAAAACATTTACAAAAAAAATCTACGATCGATGAAGGAAAGAAATAAACGGCAGTAAAGAGAATCACTTTAAATTATTCGGTGCATTGTATTTATATACACAGAGGCGATTTTCTACGGCGGCCTTGACGTTTATAAATAATCTTAGCCGCATGCAAATCGTACTACACGCACTGCTAAACTCGTCCCCCCTTGTTTTGTCTTCCTACTTTAAATTGAGAACTTAAATTCTCCTCAATCCAACAACGAATTATTAAACGTTTTAAGAATCAAAAATTATTGATAGATTTCGTGAATTTCATTTAATTGTTACTGTCTAGATCGATTTTTAACACTCGATTGCAAAATGCTAAATCAACTTTTGTATTATAACTCTACTAAGCAATTATTTGGGTTTCTCTGTCTAGTATAATACCTAATACCGGAGTGCGTTTAAAAGTTTCGCAATAGCACGTTAAAACGGGCCAACAAAATCCACTTAACATATCTTGGAGGCGCGCGTGCGTACCTGACTAAAGTTATGAAATTTTAGCAACCGAAAAGTGTCCTACTTTTTCTGTAGTAATACCAAGGCTCTTAAGCAAGTTATAGAAAAAGAATAAAATAAAACGATTTAAAATTTTAAAAGGAAACTTTCGTTAATCGTGATTTGTATTTATGATATACACGAAAAAGAACTTAAACGGCAACTTACACTTTTTTTCGTTCACGTAATAGATTTAAATTTTATAACAACATGTTAGGGTAATTATTAATAGAATGAAAGAAATGCTGGGGTGATAAAATTCATTGAGATATTGATTCTTAATTTTAATTTACTTTCATTTTGTAAACCGAAATATAATGAATAAAAAAAAATCGTCTAAAAGACCTTGACATTTTATGTTGTATAAAGTTATTCCAATTAGTATTAAAAGACATTCGTATATAAATTCATATTATTTAAAACACTATTTATTCAATATTGAAAATGACGTCTTTAATTTTAAAGTTACTATACAGGTGTATTTAAATAACATTGACAAATTTCACCTTGATACTGAAATTTGGGGAATTTTAATCACAACCATTGTGAGAACCTGTTGCAAAAAATGCATATTATATAAATTTACTTGCTTCATTAATAAACGTAGTTTCATAATTTTTACATATCTTTGAACCAGTTGCAAATCAAAATCCAAAATGCTTTATTGCGGTCAATTTTCTGTAAAACTATCTTTAGTTTCATAATTTTACTATATCATCCTTCAGGTCCCACTTCTCTATAGCGAGATATGTTAGCCTTTTTGGAACACCCGGTTAGATTTTTTCTCGCAACAACCATCTGGCGTCAGTGTTAGAACTTACAGATCTAGAACTTAGATCTTACTTATTTAGATTTACTATCAGACTATGTCTTCGTCCTCGTTATCCTTTTTGTATCATCAGTTTTTCAATCCATCAAGAGCAACTTCCAAAGTATTTCGCCAGTTGCATGCTTGGTTATGCGATTCACAAAATAGCAAATCTTCTTTAATTAACCCATCGCATTGGTATATTAAGTCAAGTTCGACAATTTGATTGTGGACATCAATGGTCATTTCATTACTACATTTTGGTATTATTTTCCATCTTTTTGCTTCTTTTGGTTCTATTATCACATTGAAGCGGCAGACTGAATGAAATTTTTATTTTTAAAGACGCATGAAATTTTCAGATCTCCCTAGTGTTTAATTTGCTAAGAGAATTCATTGCTTTTGGAGATAAGTGATTTGTGCATAAGAACATAATGAAATGATGACTTTTAATTGAAAATCTTTATACAATTTTGAAGACTTCATATTGTCCGCGGGCAGTATTTGATAACAAAAGATACTGTGCATAGCAAAGATCAGTTCTGTTTGCTGTCTAAATGTATTCCTAGAAATTTTAGGTTGATATACTCTATCCCAACGTTGTTTTGAACATACATGTATTGAGTTTTTTTTTCGTTTACTTTTAGACAGTTTGCCCCAAACCATTCCTTTGCAGCTACTAATGTTTGATGGGTTTTATTTGGCAGATTATCCAAGTTGTTTGAAGTTGATATAAAAGTGGTGTCATCCGCGTAGAAGCACACACTATCATTAGGCACAGAATAAGGCATAACATTAACATAAATTATAAACAAAAGAGGACCTAGGATGGACCCTTGTAGCACTGCTACATTGATATCATACATTTTAGACAAAGTTCCATCTATTATTACCGTTTGTTTTCTATTGTTTCCTATATGTATCGTTATCTTGGTATTTTTCTTCATTTTTTTAATAAATATTGACGACCAAGACAGAAAATGTACATATTTCGTTTTTATGCGTACAGATAATAGATGTTATCGTTCATAAACTTTAAACCATGGCAAATTAAATTATTAAGATGAATAAATATTAGTCATCATAGTATTTGATGTATAAAAGGAAATTGTTTAACACCACAAGAATATTGTCTCATAATATGCGTCAATCATTTAGCAAAAAATAAATTGTTAAAACGATTTGTCATTTGGGGAAATTTCTTTCTTCTTTCCAATTTAAAATTTGTACATAAAATTAAGTTAGTGATGCACGATTTTTGCTGTTAATCGTGTATTTTGTTAATATGATTGACACGAGATCAACAGAGACGGTGTACTCAATAATATTGCCAGACACGTGCTGCTTGTTGTAGATAGTTAACATTTCACTGTCTCTCGATGTCCTACATACCTTACAAATGACGCTCTTGCGCAATTTTTTTGTTCGTTTGAAAATGTCGCACCGTGTTCGACCGTCGTCGATCGATATCCATCGGTTCGCTTCGTCTTTGAATCAAACGACCGAAGAACGGACAATATCTATTTAGCTCAAGGATCGAAAACAATAGAATTTTTGAATTTTTTTAAAAATTTCATTCGTAGGAAGTTAGTTAACGCCAATATCAATACACAACAACGTCGAAATCACGTTTGTAATAATCATCATTTAAATAAAATTTTTTTTTTTTGCTTTTTTTTGGTGGTTTCATGGAAATTTCTTTTAATTGTGAAATTTTTAAAAACCTGTTTTAAAAGCATTGGTGTGTAAAATCAAAATTAGAAAGTGTGGTTTTACTGATGATGGATAAAAAATTAAAAAAAAAGTTAAATCATTAAATACTAATTAAGTTTTAAAGCATTTTAAAATGATTAAATTAAAATTAAGAATATGATTCACAATGAATACATCATTTAATTTTAATACAAAAATTAATTTAAATTCGTTTATTAAACTGCAACAACGGATATTGTAGTAATTTGCATTGTATATTTTCTGTCTGACCTAGTTTTAACGAATCCTGTATTTAGGTCAGTTATGTTTTGACCTTCGTTGTAAAAGATAGCACTAACCTATATTAAAAACCATTCTATTAATACGTACTCGATTTTAATTAATAAGTAATAAATATTACGATTATAATCTTATTTTAATATATTACTTACCAATTTTTACTTAATAATAAAACGTAAATAATCTTGATTTCTTATCGTGGCTAAATTAGCCGTAAAAAATTAAAAATTAAAAAGAGTCAACAAAAAATTTCGCTGACAAGCAAAACAGATTAATACACTGTGCATAAAAAAATATGTTGACGTAATAGTAAAACTGTACATGCAATACATTTTTATTTTCCTGCCCAGATCATTTCTAATTAAAAATGAATTTTTTAAATATACCAATAGTTATAAGTGTAATACATCAAGGTTATGTTTTTTATGTTTGGCCGAGTTTTAACAAGTATATAGGTTAAACTAGAAGTAAAACTAGCAGTATCACTAGAACTAACACTAGACCTAGATTTTTTTTTAGAAAACGCACAGCTTAACACGATAGTGTTTAGTTCTAGGTCTAGTGTTAGTTTTAGTGTTAGTGCTAGTTCTAGTTTTAGTTTAATTAACACCGGCCGTGGAATCCTTCGTACTTATAAGTATATAGAGGTCATAGAATATTTGTTTAAACAAAAATTGTAAAAAAATCTTACCTTCTAATTTCATTCCAACTTCAAGACATTTTTGAAATCGACAATAAGGACACCGTTTCCTTTGCGTTTTATCAATGTGACAGCTTCTTTCGGCAACACACGTATAAACCTTCTTATTTTGAACAGTCCGTTTGAAAAATCCTTTACACGATTCGCAAGTTAACAGTCCGTAATGATAACCCGAAACTTTATCCCCGCAAACCGGGCACAATTCTTCGATTCCTTCTTTCGTATCCGGTAGGTCACCTGTCGTTAAAGATGTTGTAGGTCCGGAAAGTTGGTAACCAGCGCCCATATCGACGCTATTCTGCAAACTACCCACACCTGCTGGGGAAAATAAATAGGTCGGATCTATATTGTTCATACTATGACTGATCATCATATTCTGCTGTGGCATTGTCATTTGTTGATTACAGCTACTATATGGAGCATTTAAAGGGGGTGAACAATATTGGGGCATTGGACTTCCCGAACTTAAGTTATTAGCACTGCTTACTGGGGATTCCGAATTGCCCGAACTACCGAACGGCATGTTAAGCGAGATTAATGGGGGATGGTTTTCCATGTCTAGTAACATTTCACGATTGTCACGCGAAGATTAAGAATTTTCGACCAAATTGAATTGGTGTCTCCTTAAAAAATTATTTTAATTAATCAAGTTTGTAATCATTGTATCGAGTTTTAAATCACAGCCACTCTGTAGTACACATTGAAAATAAAAGGAAGTGTAACGAAATATATCCATTCGTTTCTATTACTTATTATTAATTTTATATTTTGGGGAAGACACAATATTTTTCTTAACACTAATTCACATTAATGTAATCCGAAATACGAGGAGAAGTAGTAATCCAAAGCACTTCACACGCGAAGAACGATCAACACTATACGATAACAAAAAAAAATAAACAAATCTAGAAGACACAATTTTCCTTTTTCATCAAATGATTTCGCAAAACGAGTCGAAGAACAATAACAACGACGACAACGTTGATGATTACTAACTAACAACGACAACACGAGAGATAGCAACACACTTCTCGTGGAGTTGAGGTGCGACCGATGACTGACTTGACTGGACGAAAAGAGCGGGTCCGTTCTGGCTCGCAACTCTCTCGTGCAAAACGACGAACTAACTATGCAGAGGTACCCTTTCCAACAAACAACGTGGGTTCCCTCTTTCTACGTGCGTGCGTACGGTCCAGCTCTACAAAGGAAAATGATTAGGAGCCCATGTAATAAGTGAAAGTGTTTGGCTGCGGTGACCTACTTTCCAAATAACCAGGTCTATGTTAGTGCCGTGTTGTGAAGTCATACTACACACACACGCGCGCGCGCGTTCGCGCCCCCCAGATCTCGCTCGCTCAATCGCACTATCGGTCGCGTCGTTTGCTCTCTTGCGCGCAACGCTACTCGAATCGACGACGACGACAACGTCCAAACAAAGAGGAAAAGCACGAAGAGTGGGGTAGGCGCCGGGAATATTGTGGGGGGAAAACCCGCGGAGGGGCGCATTTAAGACAGTGGCGGGGATGTCCCACTGACCCAGATAGAAGCGCCGCAGCCACCGCCGCCGTTACTACCGCCGCCACTGATCCCGCTGCTGGTGATCACACTGTGCCCCACAGTTTCGACATCACGTTTTGAATGACGTTTATTATACATCGTTGAGACTACCGAATAAACATGAAGAACATCTTGTGGTAGATCACGATTTTATGGGGAATCTTTATCTTTTAAAATAGTTCTAATGGAATCATTTCAATTATTTTCACAGGGTGTTTCATAATATATGCGCAGGACTCAGGATGTGATAGCTTGTCCAAAAATGAAAAAGAGTCAACTTACCCTCTAAAATGCACTTAAGCATTTTCTACTAATAGTAAGCTAAGTTTTGTGAGTGAAAAAATTTTTTTAAAGTCATAATTGGTGAAGATTTTCAAGGGGTAGTGGTTGTTTTTCTCCTCAACTTCTACGCCACTGGAAAAAGTACGGTTTTGAACCGTCAATGATATCTACACAAAAAAATACTGTAGGTCATGAGCTCTAAAGTTGGCCGTTTTCTAGAAAAATCTACTTTTATGTTGAAAAATATGATCAATTTTTTGAAATAAAATTTTATTTTACAATTAAACAAAATTAACTTCGTGATTGCAAAATAAAAAAAATTAAAAAGTGATACAAAAGTTGTCTTTTCAAAATTCTCCAAACCGTAAAGGTAACGCATTTCGCACATTTCAGCGTTTGTATAAAAAATTAGCAGAAGCAAGGCGATTATATCAAGAAAGACATCCTGCTCGCCCATTACCACACCATAACTTATTTAGCATTCACCAACGACTATGGGAAAATGGAAGTTTTGAAAGGAATACTGCTGATAATGGGCGGCCTATGGAAGTTGCAAATCCCCAAGTAGAAGAGGCTGTCCTCAACGAAATTGATGAAAATCCGACCACAAGTACCAGAAAAATTGCTCACAACTTAAACCTATCTCACTCGAACGATTTGGAGAATTTTGAAAAGGCAACTTTAGTATCCCTATCATATCCAAAGAGTAACAAGCCTTCGACCCCTATCCATTTGACGATCAAGTTAAATCCGACATCAGACTTAATAGCATTGCGATCAACGTAGCGGGTGTTGATGCAATGTGATTTTTGTCCACTTTACGGATTTTCATAGTGACAAAAATTGAGCTACCCATCAAATGGCGAGAGTAGCTAAAACATTTTTAATCATTCATTTATTGAGCGCCCAACAGATTTTAAACTTCAATACCATTGCTGATTGAGTGGGGGTCTTTCAGTGAGTAGAAGGTTGGCCAGTTTGATGTTTGAGTTGTCAAAACAAGGTGAAATGGATTTTGTATCAATATTTTTTTTATACCAACCCAATTATTCAATATCCGAGTACGGTAGAAAGCACCCCAGGGAAGATCCTTTTTTGCCAACACTACATCATCACTACATCTTTGCAATACTTAATAAAGTCCCGGTGGTGTGTTTAAGACGCTGGATGCTACTTTTACTGCATAGCTATACTTTGGAAATAATCTCAGCTAGCTCAGTGGAGAGTGAATGCTGGGTGTAAAATTCCTTCATTGCACAGGTCTGTGAAAGTACGTTTACAGCCAATTCAGCTACAAGTCAAGTTTTTGAAAGTATTGGGGAGGAAACCACAGCTCGAGACCCTAGCTCTCCTTAGAAGCATATAGATATGCAGGTTAAATACACAGATCCGAAAATAAGTCGCTCCACTTATAATGGGTGCCCGAGGAACTTGTTACACTGAATCATACTTTAGAGTCTAAACCTGCCAAGGAAACGAGGTACGAAAAATTAGCTATGAAAAAGACCCTAAAGGTAATGTGAGAGATCGATACAAACCGGAAAAAAATACAACGCAGATGTATAATCTTTTTAATACATGCACTGTTGTTTTTCTGATAAGTTAAAAATACTTACTGGATTGAAAACTATATTGTGCATACACATCTATTTTATGGAATAGTTAATTTATTAATTCATTTTCAAGTTTGTGATAAGAACGGTTTACGCTATCTGTCGACACAGTTGGTAGGAAAGAGCACGGAGAAGTACGAGGAGAAGAGTGCGGGGAACGTTTGGGAATGGTGTCAGATCGCCGTATAATGGCGTTACGCAACTCCGGGGCTCCGGCCCCGGCCCGGACGGCAATCTGTAAACTACGCACGACCGCTCTTCGCTCCGCTGATTCTGATTCTTAAATTTGCACGTTTAGTACCGTTATTCATTTAACTAACTAAAACAAAATTGATAAATAAAATCTGTAAGAATTTCATTTTTTATCCTATTCTTTTGGCACATATTCCGAATTCTTCACAAATATTCTATTGTTTGTTTTACACTCTTTTTTTTTTTTTAATTTTATTTTCGTAATATTTGGTAACTTAAAACATGTAGCAAATCAAATTTATGTTTTTTTAAGTGAGTCACGTTGACCGGTTTCAACGAAAGAGATTTCACGTTGCATAACAGCCGAAACACATATAAAATCCAATCAGACGAAGGCGGCTCACGTTTTAAGGCATAAGAAGACAAAAAAGCAAAGATATTATACTTTCTCCATTTCTTCATCCTTGCGTCGCGGTTACGTGCTTATAGCGTTGAAGAAGTAGGATATTCAACGAAAGTGAGATCGAGGTTCGCGTGGTCGTGCTCTGCCTCGTTGGTTTCATTCATTAGATCCATTTCGCTTTTCACCAGACGACAACTGTTAGATTCGTTTTCGATTGTGATACTTTTGTAGCCTCAAATAAAAGTAAAATTGAAAGATAATAAAAGAAAAGTTTTTAATTTTTAAATGTTGGTTATTTTGGGTCATGTTGTGCAATTTTTTATTCGCTGAGTTGGTATTTATAAAACAATTAAGTGGTATCGAGGAAGCCGAGTGTCGAATTTATAAACAAAAATCAGACTTAACTGGGTTAAACAAATCGGTTGGGTGAATTGGGTGACCTATTTTCGTTCACCTAAGTCTTTTAATGTAAATCCAGGACGTTTTAAAAGATCATTTTCTAAATAATTTTGAAACACTTTATTATTTTAACAAAAACAACCCAGAATTTCTTTTTTAATAAACGACTTTCGAGATTTTTATTTTTAGTAAAAAATAATCATTCCCCGAATCGGAATTCTTTGTTGTGTTCCAATATTTCAACGCAGGCTAACTTTATTGCCGTAATTTAACCGGGAGGCAACGAAAGAGGGTACCAATAAAATAAACGGTTTCCATGCATCTTTCCTACCGAATCTATTGGAATTTTTACAGCAGGCAAACGGGAATTTTATTTACGATCCTCGACGTCTTTTCTCCCGTTTCTAAAACTCTTTGCTCTAGGCATCTGTCAACATTTTACACCCCCTCATAAAAATATCGATGGGTTAGTAACATAAAGATGAGTAGCAAAAGGATATGTAGTTATGTTCAAAAAATTTATAACCAGTATTTATTTATGAACATTATCAGCACCAAAAGTATTCTATTATAAACCTTCTATTTTTTTACTTTTTTAGATTAAATCTATATAACTCAATCTATTTGCATCATAACTTCAGATATTTGCGGAACAACTAAAACTAGAACTAATAGTAGACCTAGAACTAGAAATATTCGGGTTTAGCCGTTAGATGGCTAGCTCTTAAGATGGTTAGTTCTTGTGATAGTATTAGTGTTAATTGACAGTGCAATAATCATTTGAAATAGCTAGTCAATAAAAGCGGACAAAACACGTAAATCACCTGGGAATATTCCAATGACGTTTGCCATCGAGTAACCAGATTTAGCTTGTAAGGTTTTATCATTAAATCAGGTTTACATAATTGCATCTATCCAGTATCAACAGTAATAATAACAACAATGCCATCACCGTATACAAGGACTAACATAGATTGCATTTTTAATTTTTGCATTATACAGGATTCATCCTATGTAGATGTAACAGATATAGACGTTTTTCTAGTAGCAAACTTAAACAACAATCTCTCTTTATTATAAACTCTGTTACAAAGTATTTTCGTCAACGAGAAATTATTACGAGTTATAAACGTCTCGTAAATTTCGTTTTATATAATCGGGAACGTTTAATGTCCGTTGAATGAAACCTTTTCTCATTCATGTTCGAAAATAAAATGCTATTTTAATATGGTAGTAATTATTTTTCTTCGTCGATAATTTTTTGAAATTCTTTTGTGTAGATTGATGGTTTAAGCTCAATTGCAAAATGAGGCAACAAGTAGCTAAACATCTATTAAGTGCGTTTCGTAGTCTCTGTGACAACAAATAAAATTAACCGTAAATAAATCTTAATGGCACCCGTTACCATTTGTACCAAACCAACCGTGGTAAAAACACGTGGTGAGAGAGGTCGACCGATTTCCCAACTCACTACGAGCAACTGCAAAATAATAACTAAGGGGATTATTGTAAAGGCGGTCAACCTCTACGTTACATACGTATTTAGAAAGATGGGCTATCATGTAGCAATAAATAATGACGTTCTAAGGCGCTTATGCTCCTCAACCTGATGAATGTCAGCGGTGGATATTAATTTTATATTTTGCAACCTTTAAGAGATCTTGAAGAAAAAAAGGGATTTAATTTCAATTTACCAGGCGATATCTTTTCATCTTTATCTAAGTTTTAAATTAGTTAAAAAAGTTTTAATTCAATTATAAACTTTGAACATTTAATTTTTTAACTTCATTATGTATTATGGAAAAAAACATTTTTCGAATCCAATCGATATATATTATGACTGCGTTGACGTGTTTCCAACAAACGCCTCA